TTTTTTTTTTTTTTTTTTTTTCATAATGCTAATGCAAGAGGGCTTGAAGTATCAAAGAGTCCACAGGAACTGGATGCCCCCAGTAATATCTTTTTTTTAAAAAAAATATACATTATATAATATATATTATATATATAAAAAGCTAGTGTAAATGCTTCCATGGTATGGTCACAAATTTGAAAGATGAATCTCCTTTCAGCTGTTAACCATCTTCCCATTTGCAACAACAGGTTTTAAAAAGTCATTTTTATCTTCAGACATAACATGAGTTTTCAGAATGAGGTTGCCAACGCTGACAGATGTGGTGATGGGGAGGCAACTTGCACTGCTAATGGACACTGGAAGTGGCTGGCTAAAGCAAGAAGTTACCGGCAGAATTGTTTTTTGCTCCTCCCTGAGAAAAAATTAATGACATTGAAAACAAATTAGCTTTAAATGAAAACTTAAAACATATGTAAAAAGTTGTACCGAACTTTAAGCGCCTCTAGCAAAGGCATGTCTTTAACACTAAAAAGTATCAGAGATCACTAAAAAAGTTCTGTTTTTCTAAAAATTAAAATACTAGGTTAATTCAGGCCAACAAACTATCAAGTTTTCAAATTAGCCCATATTTTTGGTAGTAATTATACAAAGTGGCAATAATAAAGCCAAGAAACTCATAAGACTTTTTAAAAGGGAAATCCTTCATGTAGGTTTTAATTCTCCACTCTGTACTCTGTAAGTCTGGCTACCAGGCTGAGGAATAAAACCTGACACTTGAGCACAAAAACAAATTTTTATCCCAAGAAAAAGCAAATTCAGGCTACTAACATGGACCACTTGGTTAGTTCCCATTTAGCTCTTCTCTCCTAAAAATCTAGACTGACCAAATCATTGCCCATTACATAAGGTTTTCCCCTTACAGGATAAAAGAGCCAAAAATGAATTTAACACTATCTATTTTGCTTTAAATGTTCATGGTTATGAATTTTCTATCTAACACTCACAGAATCACATGGTCTTCACCTAAACTCTGTCTCTTCTGCTCTAGTGGCTCCTTTTGGTGCTGTTGGACTGGATGCCCATTTTCCACTGCTGTTCCATTCAGCAACGGATCATTTTGAGAACTGATACCAAGCTGTATGTCCAGGATCTCCTAAGAAAATAAAATGTTAATCCTTCAGTATGAAAGTATTTTACTTTAGTCGCCAATGGAATAAAGCCTTCTAAACATCCACCTGTGGCACTTACTTCAATTTGTTCACTCTGTCCATCAGGTTCATCAGTGTCAAGTGCAGAAAGCTCTAACTCAATATCTCTATCAGGCTTAGTATCAGCTGCATCTTCTGTATAATCACCCTGTAATTAAAAAAAAATACTGATGATATACCTGTGGAAATTGGGGCTTCCCTTTAAATTAAAGTGGGAATCCCAATGATTGATCTAAAGAATTATCTAAAGTCTGGGACCACAATTTTATTTCTACTATAAGTTTTTAAAGCAAGAATCAGAAAAAGGCACACTAAAATGCACTAAGTAATGGCATAAACCTATGCACAGCAACAGCAAATAACAAATACATTTAAGTGTGAAGCTGATAGGTTCAGTTTCTTTACCTCTCCATTTCTCAATTCAATTTCCTTGCTTAGAAGATTTAAGGTAAGGTGACGGCCTTCATCCAGGGAATTCCACTTCTGTTGCATAGCCAGAGCATTGGCTTCCCTCTGAAGAAGCAATGAGTTACTCTTGGCCTAGAAGGGGGAAAAAAGTAAAGTTGGCTTTCAACCACCATCCTATTTTTTAAAAAGTCAAAGCTGAGTGACACAGAACCTACCTGCTGAAGTTCAATGCTTAAAAGGTCTCCAGTACTGGAATGCTTTCTATGATAAGATAAATCAGTAATAATGAATCTGTCCCTTTAAAGAGAAACATGTTTATTGTAGTAAAAGTGAAGCAAGTGAAGCAGCTAAAGCAGTAATGACTACATACTGTATATGTTTTATGTAACAGATCAACCCTGAAAGTTTCGGTCATCATTCCAAACGTAAAAAAAAAATTTTCAGAAATTTGTTATATAGTTAAAACTAGCAAAGCACATTTTATGAATAGTTGGGGACAGAATCTGTCCTTTGAGGGTATATACAAGTCTGAGAATAGAAAACCCTAAAGGATTCCGAGTAGCCTTACCGTTCAGTATAGTGTGCTGACGATGCGGACTCGCTACCATAAGAGCTCCACCTTGAATCAACGGCGTTGACGTAAGGGACATAGTCTATAGAAACGTAGAAAGAAACAATGATCAGAAGAGTGAAAGTCAGTATACAGATGTGAATGGATATTTTCCAAAAAAGATCCATATTTTATCCAACTAACCATGTTCTCCTGGGTTAAACCATTTAATTCTGAGTTTACTGTGGTTGTTAAATGGAAGAAAATCCACAAAGTGAGGATTAAAAAATACAGCACTAAAGAAAATTTTACCCTTTGTGGCAGCATGGATGGACTTGGGGAACATTATGCTAAATGAAATAAACCAGTCAGAGAAAGACTCATGTGGAATTTAATGAACTGAATTACCAAGCAAAATAGAGACAGACTCATAGATAGAGGGCAGGCAGACAGCTCGGGGAGTTGAGCAAAAAAGAAAATAAAAAACAGAGAGTGAACTCATGGACACAGACAACAGTGTGGTAATTAAGGGGGGTGGGGGGGGTGGAGATGGAAGAGAGCATAGAGGGGATAAATGGTGATGGAAAAATAAAATAAACACAGTGCTAGAATATATCAGGTGAAGTATTAGCTTAATGGATTACCTGATACACTGATAGGCTTAGTCGCACTTCCTTGGGAAGCAGTGGCCTGGACAGGATCCGTGGTATGGTAACCTGTGCGGGAAGATCTGGAAATTGCACCCCATTTTGAGATGATAGGTCCATCACTAAAAGGAATTATCGGGTCTTCTTCTTTTGTCCTTCTCTGAGTTTCAAATAAATGTACTCTTCTCTTAACATCTCCACTGTCTAGGTCCTGCATAAACCAAAGAAAATCAGTAATAGGACTGTTGGCAATTTCACATGCTTTCAAAAGACATGTAATTAAGTTTTCTGGTAAATTTAACATTTAAAACTAGCTGTATATTTCAATGATAACCCAACATCTATTTTAGACCACCAAACCAGGCTCAAATAATTTAAACATTAAATTCAATTTAGTTCAGACTTATAGCAACAATGAAGATAAAAGTATTCACTCATTTTAAAACCTGAGTCAACATGCATAACATCCTCCCAGCCCCGGAAGCGTACCATTAACACAGCACTGGAATTAGCAATCACGTCTCTGGGCTCTGACTCAATGGCGTTCATATAGGAGCCTATGGTGCCGCAAGACCAGGGAGAATAATGGGAAAGATGATCTTCTTCAAACTTTGTTCCGCTCACACTCTCAGAGAGCTGGTTAAAAAAGAAAAAGGCATAGCCCATTAGTGAGAAACTTAAATGTATAAGCTTATAACTAATATTAAGTGACTCTTATAGAACACAGAGGACTTCATAGTGGACAATTAACCCTTCAGTGACTAGTATAAAAACTGTCATAAATAACAAACAGTATGTTTACCATTTGTATTTATATTATTTAATAGAAAATAGAATGCTTTCTCTTTTTACTTTGTCTTTTAGGTGCTCATATGGAATTCCTGACTGATACCATTAAAACCAATCAACAAATAATTTATAGCATGCCTCTAACATGGTATGAGCGGCTCCAGGAAAAAAAAAAGGAAACACATACAGAGACTCACAGATTACAGTGCATGTCCTTAAGTAGTTTATAATTTTGAGAAAAGATTAACATGTATAAATAAGGAATCAAAAGTGAAAAGAATTCAAAGTCGGCTCTGGAACTAGAAGGGGGAGTGGATAAATTTTAAAGAGACTGCAAGGATAACCGTAGAACAAGAATCTTAAAGTTGTTAAGAATCATTAAATCTAGTTTATTAATTATATAGATAAGAAAACTCAAGGTCAAAAGGTTAAATTACTTATCCCAAGTCATATTACTAACTAACAGCAGATCTGAATCTCAGGGAAATACTTATTTCCTAAAGCATAGTATAAAAAATGTAAATGCAGTTTTCTATTATTAAGCAAGTAACAAATCTATCACTCTACTGTCAAGATGTTTACTCAGTCTGAAGAAGTCTAAGTGTAATGAGGCAAATTTGGATCTAGTTTAATAATTCAATGGTTTATTGAAATATTCATGGATGGGCCCTGGCAGGGAAGCTCGGTTGGTTGGAGCATCATTCTAATATACCAAGGTTGTAGGTTCGATCACCGGTGAGGACACATACAAGAATCAACCAATGAATGTACAAATAGGTGGAACAATAAATTGATGTTTCTCTCTCTCATTTCCTCTCTAAATCAATCAAACAATAAAAATTTTTTAAAGTTAAAAATATATTCATGGATGATAATAATATTTGATGTTTAAGATTACTTCAAAATAATCCAGTAGGATGAGGGGGGAACAAATGAAATAAGAGTGACTGAGTGAATAACTGTGGAAGCCGGGTGAGGGTAAATGGGGTTTATACTATTCTCTCTACTTTTGTTTAAAAGTTTTCATAATGAAGAGACTCAAAAAAGTTTTTTATAATTAGAAACTCGAGGGACGGGGAATAAACCAGAGGAGTTTTTTTAAAAAAAAGGTGTGCTTAAATGTAACAGTCCTGAAACACCAGGGTATGCCGAAATGACACTGGTGCAAACACATTTTGTGATGACAAGAACAATAATGTACAGTCATGTAAAACACCATGAATAATACAGCTGGCATGTTGCACCTTTTGTGAAGTAGGGAAGAAATATCTCAGGAAGACCGAGATTCACATCTCAGCTACTTACAGGATGAATTTATTACTTGGGCAAATTACTTAACTTCTCTGAGTAGGATTCCTAACCTGCAAAATATGGATAACACCTACCTCCCGAGGTTTTTGTGAGAATTAAATAATATTATGTAAATGCTTAGTACAGTGTCTGGCACAACTAGGTGCTCAATATATGGCAGGTATAAAAATTATTATTAATAAAAAACCATAAAAAATAATGAGAACTATACTGAAAAAATTTTGAATTCTTGGTGGAAAAAGGACTGTGAGTTAATGGTCTTCAGTGTCTCACAAAGTCTAGCCATAGTGCTTACATACTCAACAGTGTATTGAGCTAAATTCAGCTGCACACCAAACCACTGCGAAATATCCAACACAGCTAACATTGGTTTGAATGAATGCTCTGAAGTCAGTTGTTTGACCTATCCCTGCAACACCAAGTGATTAAAATCTTTCTTACATCAGTGCGAAAGTCTACACTGAACAGAGGAGAAGGTGGCGTTGGAGACTGTGTTGCCACAGGAAGAGTTGAAGAGACAAGAGGTGCTTTCTGAGTGTGGTACTGTGCCCACTGTTCTGGCTTTCTTCTTATTTGTTCCTCGCAACTGGTCTTCAAATGACCACAAGGTTCCTAAGGGGGGATAGAAGAAACAATCTTAATCATATAGGGAGCAGCAAATAAATTTAACTATGTTCTGTGGAAATAATGTAAACAATTTATTATATACTTGGGACAAAAAAATACAATAGGGAAGTCATCCTAGCCTATTCTCCACACTTAAATGAAAGTGCCAAGTACATTAAAAGTAAAATCTGAGCACTTACTTTTGGGGTTTTGGAAAGTCATTTGTATGAATGTGGGGATAACTGAAATAGATCCTGTTCCTGTATTTTGAAGATTTCTTTTTACCTTCCCCTCAGTTTCCTATCCAAACATTTATTGAGCACTAATATGTATCAGGTCCAGTTTTAAGAGCTTTTTTTTTTCTGATTTAATCCTCACAACAGCCTTATGAGGTAAGTACTACTCTTATTTCCATCAAACAGATGATAAAACTGACAGAGAAGTCAAGTAACTTCCATAAGTCACAGTTAGTAAGTGGAGGAGCCAGGATATATACCTGGGTGGTTTTACACCAGATGTTGGGTCCTCAACCATCACACTACAGCAGCATTCCTATGTTCATGATCACTCACCCTTGGTAAAGGCACAGTTGTCCTTGGTTCACTTGGTTGCTGACAAGCCACTGAATAATACCCATCTAAGGAGTTATATCTTTCTCGCAAAGACGTCTGATAGACAGACGAGTGCATCACATCCATTGGAGGTAAAGAATTACTTCTAATAATGTCATCTCGTTGGTACATAGGTGGACGCCAGATGCGCCTGCTGTCGTACACAGGAGCATACATTCCAGAAGGTACTGGAGGAACTGGTCCATATGGCTGCGGAGGAGGGGGTTGGTAAGGAGAATTCATTCGATCTCGAGGGGAAAATGTACTGTAATGATCGGCATATGGCATGGAAGCAGGTGGGAGGGAGGACTCTGGAACATTACTGGGCCTCACAAAGCGAGGAACACAGGGAGCCACACCAGCTGGTACCGTTGGAGGTGGTGGGTAGTATCCTTAAAAATTGGAAAGAGGAATATTTAATGTAATCTTAGTAAAATCCAACATTTTTAATGGTTTAAATCTAAAGCAGTCTTTAATGTGGGAAAATAAAATAAGCTTTGACCTTACTTTAGTTACCCCTGCTTTTGAAAGAAACTACATCTTTTCAAGACACCACTATATGAAAATCATTAATGTTCATTACTTTGTTACACTGCTCTCTAAAAACACATGACAGAGCTATTAACAGATGGTTAGGAAATTTCCTTCTAGGGCTTCTATTGCCACAGGTTTTGAATTAAGTAATTATAGTTACATCTTTGATTCTTAACCTTTTTGGGAGCCGAGGTTAAAACCTTTTTCAAAATCTAAATAAGCTGTGTGTTGTCTTTCCAAAATTACACCTAAGTATATAAACCAAACATTTTGCATATCATTTCAGGGGATTTACAGAACGCCCTGAAGCTCATCCATGGACCCTGTATTTGATTCATAAGAATGACAACTTTAAAACTATTTGTATGTAGAATTATATATTCTTAGGGCAGAAAGAAAACTTAGGGGTCATGAAGTTCAAAGGATTATTTTTTAAATGCAAATATTCTAGATAGAAACAAATGATTCACTTACTTATCTAAGGGTAACAACTGTTGTATTGGTTTCTTTTTTCTTAGAATTGTCTAAAATTACTTACCTGTCTGTGGGTACTGTGGGACTTCAAAGGGTATCTGAGTCCTTGGATCTTGAAAATACTGAATGCTTTCAGAATGCTGAGGATATACTGGTACTCTAGTTATAAATGGGCTGGATTTTGGAGGCACAGAATTCAGCTCTGTTCCAATATTAGAAGGCCCAGCTGAGGTAGCCACTACATTACTTACAGGAGTCTTGGGTGGAGAACCAATTTTACTGGAGAGAAAATTTAACAGAAAGCAAATGATAAATCACTGTCTGTGACTCTTTAAGTCTTCCTCAGTAGGAATTTTTCATAGGATTATATAGTGAAACAACTAATAGAAAGATACTTTAGGTATTTCCATAGTTACAAATAAGGCAATGAATGACATTGCCACCTTACATTGCTAATTCACAACATCAAAGTAACAGGTCTCTGATGAGAACAAAAAGAAATACAAACCCCAAGCACTAATGTGACCCATCAGTTCCTTTTTATTTGTTTTTTTGAACAAAAATTTTTCCTTCTGGAAATTTAAAAAATTCCTTTTCAATAAATTCATAACAGAAATAATAGGGCCTACCAGTAGTATTCTTTGGGACAAAGGAGACAGACATGAAAAGGAAGAGTTGTTCTATTAAGAGTTAGGTTAGCTGAAATATAAACACACCGAAATATAACACCATTTTGTTAACTGCTGTCTCCCCAAGACCTAGAACAGTTCCCAGCACACAGAAGGCACTAAGTAAATATTTGTTGGACAAATGAAATAGTTCTTGCCACATAGTAAATATCTGTTGGATGAACAAAACTCCAATGAAATGGTTACTCACTAAGTTAATGCAAAATACACAAACTTTTTATCTTTTCTAAAAAACAAACAAAGGATTTTCTTTGCTGAGCCATCAAGCAATCAGCTCCACAGGATCTCATCATAGCTTTTAAGAAGTCAAACTTTTAGCCCTGGCCAGGTTGCAGGTTTGATCCCTGGTCAGGGAACATGTAAGAATCAATCAATGAATACATAAATAAGTGGAATAATAAATTGATGTCTCTCTCTCTCTCTCTCTTCCTCCCTCTCTCTAAAATCAATAAATAAAAATTTAAAAAGTCAAACTTCTCCCAGAAGCTAAAAGTTCATTGCCACCAAACCAGTAGCCCGGGTTACAGGCTTGATACCCAGTCGGGGGTGTGCAGGAGGCAGCCGATCAATGACGACTCTCTTATCATTAATGTTCCAACTCTCTCTCCTTCTCCCTTCTTCTCTCTGAAATCAATATATATATATATATTTTTTTTTTTTTTTTTTTAAAAAGCATAATAAAATGGCAATAACTACATATCTATCAACAATTACTTTAAATGTAAATAGATTAAATGCTCCAACCAAAAAACCCAGGGTGGCTGAATGGATAAGAAAACAAGACCCTTACATATGCTGCCTACAAGAGGCTCACTTCTGATGGAAAGACACACACAGGCTGAAAGTAAAGGGATGGAGAAAGGTATTTCATGAAAATGAAAACAAACAAACAAAAGCTGAGGTAGCAATACTTACACCAGACAAAACAGAATTTAAAACAAAGGCTATAACAAGAAACAAAGAAGGACCCAGCAATCCCACTCTGGGTATTTATCTAAAGAAACTCAAACACTAATTTTAAGAAACATATGCACCCGTATGTTTGTTGCAGCATTATTTATAACAACTAAGACATGGAAGCAACCTAAGTGTCCCTCAATAGATGAATGGGTAAGGAAGACATGGAACATATATACAATGGAATATTACTCAGTCATAAAAAAGAATGAAATCTTGCCATCTGCAACAACATGGTGGACCCAGAGGGTATTATGCTAAGTGAAATAAGTTAGACAGAAAAAGGCAAATACCATAAGATTTCCCTTATATGTGGAATCTAAAATAAAAATTTTTTTAAATGAACAAAACTGAAGCAAACTCATAGATACAGAGAACATTTTGATGCTTGCCTGATGGGAGGAGAGTTGGGGTGATGGGTGAAAAGGCAAACAGGATTAAGAAGTACAAATTGGTAGTTGCAAAATAGTCATGAACATGTGAAGTACAGCATAGGAAATATAGCCAATAATATTGTAATAATGAATGGTGTGAGATGGACAGACTTATGGGGTGATCACTGTAAGTTATATAAATGTCTAATGATTATGTTGTACACCTGAAACTAATACAGTATTGTATATCAACTCTAATTGAAAAATTTTAAAAATTATGAAAAGAAGCCAAACTTAAGCAGCACTTAGACATGTGATAATTCAAAGAAATGATCTTGTTAATGATGCAGGAATTCAATATGTTGTATCTTAAGTAGATTAGAAGAGTTTTCTCAAACTAGAGAAGCCCTTTTAAAGCTGGAGTATAAACAACCAGGAGAATGGGCTGCTTTTAAGTCTTGCCCAGCACATTGGTCTAGATGTTTACGTCTGTGTATAACTGTGTATTAAAATGTAGAAAATAAAGAACTGTGGGGTAATAATATTAGGTAGAAATGTATTGGCTTAGAGTTTAAAGATATTTTAGAGCTGTATTTAGTCTTTGAAGTTAAATAAAGGCAACAAAGGAAATGATTAGGATTTCCTTATAACAATAATACTCCTTATAACAGTAACACTTATTGAGCAATTACTGAGCACATTCTAGCACTATGCTAAGTGTTTTTACATAGATTATCCGGTTCTTCCATGTCAAAATGTTATATGGGTAAGTACTTTGAGATGACAATTTCTTAGCTGTATCAAGAAAAAGGCATCAAAATCCATGACAATGTTCATGGCATCATGAAATCATGCAAGTCATCTCCAAAATTCAGATTTAAGGAAAAAGCCAATTTTCAGTCAGACAGCTAGATCACTATAGCTATAGATGACTTTCCGGATTCTGGGCTCTCCTTTGCTGCAGCCCCTCTCATACCTACATGCTTATGCCCCTTCCTCTATCAATAAGATCCCTCCTTCCTAACTATCTGTATTTCTAGAACTAGCTCATCGCCTTAACCTCTGAGAACCCTTTCACTGTAACTCCCTGTAAAGTTAGAGTTTCTTTTTTTTTTAATGTGTCAAAAACACTTGGAACACAACTCCATTATAGTACCTTTCAGAATATATTATATGGTATCTGTTTACATCTCTCAAATTACACCAGAAGACCTTTAGAGGCAGGGAGTATATCCAGTTCATTTTCATTACTACACCAGTTGGCCTGATGTTTGGCACATAGTAGAAGATCATAATTCTTGATTGAGTAAATAAATGATTTATTTATGTTAATTTATTTTTAAAAGTTTCCCCTGGTCCGTCATTTTAAAAATGAGATATAATTTACCCTTTTAAGGTATGCACTTCAGTGATTTTGGGATAGTCACAAGGTTATGCTATCATTACCATTATCCAATTCTGAAACATTTGCATTGCTCCTGAGAGAAACTTGTGCTCATTAGCATTCACTCCCAGTCCCCCTACACACACCCCCGTCCTAGCCCCCAGAAACCACTAAGCTACTTTCTGTCTATATAGATTTGCCTATTCTGGACATTGAAATAAATGGAAATATACACTATGTGGCCTTTTGTATCTAGCTCCAATATTGCTTCATTTATGTAAATGCTGTCTTCAAGACTATATCATCATAAGTTTCTACAAGACAGAGATATCTTATACATTTATATATCTCATGTATTTTCATGTGTGCCAAGAACAGATCTCAGAATGAGTGCACAAGTAACATTTGCTACCTAGACAATGTTCTCTGATATAGCATTTCTAAAATCTCAGCCAGGAAAGACTGTATAAACAAATTCCCCCATCACATGCTAATTGCAGAAATAAAGAATATAAATGCTTACTTACTCATCATTTTAACTATATGAAATCACCAGCAATTTACTGTGTATCTAGCATAAAGTTTTTTTTCCTAAAAGGCATATAATAGATACTGACACACTATTGGTGATAAATTCTGAACATGCTTTAACTCAGATTTTAAGATAAAAGAATAACAAAGCATGAGATTTTAGAGGTGAAAGTAAATTTTTAGATCATCTGAAAGTTTTAAAACTTTTTCTTAAAGCACCAAAACCCCTTTGCCAAATTAAATCTTATGCTGAAATCCAACAGTAATAATGGAGATAATAATACTAATAGCAGATATATTTATTAAGTGCTATGTGGCAGGTGTTATTCAAAGCACACAGAAGTATTAAGTCATTTAATCCTCAGAATAGTAGGTCTTATTATTATACTAATTTTATGGATGAGTAAACTGAGGAAAACAGATTAAGTAACTGGCCTAAGGTCAAACAGCTAGGAAACAGTGAACCAGAATCTGAACCCAGAGTCTGGCTCTGAAGATTTCCCTCTTAACTCCCACACACCATTACAGAGTATAACCAAGAATTGTTTTGGTTGAAGCAGGAACTCAAGCATCTCACCTGCTTAAGTTCCTTTATGGTACACCTCTATGGACTTAATCCTGAATTTCAAGGGAAGAAGGTGTGAAAAAACCCAATTCTGGTCCAACCTCTTCAGCTTACAGTCAAGGGAAACAAAACCAAGTTAAAGTGACTTCCCAAAGTCACAAAGCTATTGTTAAAGAACCAGGACTAGAACTCAAATTTTTTGATATTTGGTGCTTTTTCTACATGAAATATTTGGCATAAAAATTCTATTAACTGCTCTTCCTCAGGAAAAATAAAAATACTCAGGCATTTATAAAAAGTCTAAGTAACTCATATGAAGCATTTTGCCTATTACTTACTTTTCAGTCACAGCCTCTGAAGAAGGCCCAGCAGCATTCTGACCATTAGTGCCAACCTTCCCCACTTTCTTCACAGTCTCCAGAGCTCTTAATGCACTGTCAGCATTACGTGGGATTAGCTGGGAAACACTGTTTTCTGCATTGGAAATTCCGTTTGTACTTGGAACAATTTTCCCCGTTGTTTCAGTACTTCCTATGACAGAAATGACATTTCCGGCTGTGGTTGTGACAGTGTTGTTTACACCAACTTTATTTAGAAGAGGAAACGTTCTTACAGTTGCATTGATCTTTTTGTTCCTCAAACGATACCTGTTTTAAAAACAATCAATGTATCAGTGAATATTTCACTAAATCTTAAAAAAAAAAAAAGGCAATGGGAAAAGACTTAAAAAGGAGGAAACAGCTTTGAAACAGTTTCTTCAGCTAACTATCATATACAGTCTACACCAAACTCTGCTGTAATAGATGCCATATGAAAATACATGCCATTCACCTACACACATGCACACGTGAACACACACACATTTGTGTATATATAGGCACATAATATAGCAAGCAAAGTACACATAGATTCAAAGAAGCCTTCTGAGGGAGTGGAAAGAGATCCTTTTGGAAATTTTGTCCAACTGGAATATAAAGTGCACTAAGTAAAAAATAAAAGAAACCACACAAAATTTAGTTAGGAATATAGAGTAAAGAGAAAGGTATACAAGAGTTGAAAAAAATTATCTGTTGTTACCAAATTGTTACATATTATATAATTTTAAAGAAATAAAAAAACTAAAACTCATTTTTAAACAAACATTCATTTATGAAATGATATCAGAAAGGCAGGCACAGACTCGGTGTTGCAGGGTTTTAAAGCCACTATCTAGATTTTATCTACGTTTCTCATTATCTACAGTGAGTCTTATGACAAAGCTCTCCCTGTTTTGTGGGAAATAATGGGATTGGGATGGGCAAGAGTAGCTGTAAGACTAGTTCGAAGGCAACTGTGGATCAACAAAAGGGGATGATAGCTTGGACTCTAAGAATGGAAAGATGAAGAGTTGAGAAATATATAGGAAACTGAACTGATAGAACTTAGTGACTAAGACAAGCAGGTGAAAGAAAGCTGACAGAAATGATTCCTATAGCATGACATGAATTAACTGGTTGGACCAGGGTACACTGGGGGAGAGCAAAATGGAAGATAGAAGAGGAGGATGCTTGGGAGTAGAAAATGAACTCCAATTGAGTTTAAAGTGTCTAAAAACAGCCCTGTCCGGTTTGGCTCAGTGGTGAGAGCGTTGGCATACAGACTGAAGGGTCCCAGGTTTGATCCCAGTCAAGGGGACATACCTTGATCCCCAGACCCAGTCAGGGTATAAGCAGGAGGCACCCAATTTCTCTCTCTCTCACATCAATGTTTCTCTCTGCCCCCCCCTTCCCACTCTCTCTAAAAGGCAATAGAAAAATATCCTCAGGTGAGGATTAACAAAAACAAAAACTGTCTAAAAACACAAAGGAGAGGTCCCTTAAGAATTGATACACAGGCCAGTTGTTCAGAAAGGTTGAGATCAATTTTTTGGTGAAATCTCAATGATGAAGGTTCTGGTTAAAAAACAAAACAAAAATTTAGACAACACATAATATGGCTTATATGCATTTACTTTTATGTTTGGGGTAAATGGACACAGAAAAAGGAATTACCCATAGAAGAGGAGAAAAACAAAAGAAGATAAAAAAGAATTTTAAAAAGACAAAAGTCATAAAAAGAAAATCTGCATTACTATTTTACCTGGGCCTTTGCTGTTATCTTCAAATGAACCTGAGCAAATAAGACTGCACACAGGGGTATTTTCATTCTACACAGGTGTGTAGCAGAAACGTGAATTTCAGCTATACACTGGTCTAAAATACGAACCCTGAATAAGGTTCTAAGTCACTTATTAGGTTAGTCTGGCTCCCAGAAGCAACAAGGTAGTTAACTGCATCTTGGAAACTCAGTGCAAACTTTAAGACTGTATCTAACACTTTCATAATGACCCAAAATAAAACCCATATGCAAGAGAATTCTCATAACTTACTTTTCAAGCTCTTCCTGAGAATGGGCAAAAGTACAATTTGTTCCTCGTGGACACCCTCCTTGCTGTCTTAGATCTCGGCACATGCTAGTCTTATATTTGCTGTTTGGCTGGGGCTACAAAAAGAATCAGTGTGTGGAAAAGTGAAGATTCCAGGTGTTACTCACTCTTGGGACTTAAAAATGTCATGATTATACCTTAAATTCTTTTTCACATTAGACATGTAACTTTGTGCTGAAACAGTTACCATTCCATTGTTTCCTGTTGTTATGTGGCATAACCCTGAGTTGGCATTTTGGACATTCCTTCTGGAGATTATCAGAAACTGGTTCAAATGTTATGTCTATGTATTTGTAAGGCAACACAAAGCCCATAAAAAAAACAAGATTTTCTCATCAATTCACTACTGTGTTAAAATTATGATACCAAAACCAAACAAAAACTTCTAAAAAGCATTTAAAGGTAACAAGCTTGTTCACTTAAGCTTTCCCAGGATATGTAGAAAATGGTTCCCCTGAAAGTGAAAAATTAAGAAATATTTGTCAACTTGAGGGTACAACTCTCTTTTAGGCTGGGAGTTAAGATCACATAATGAGGCAAAATAGAAAAACCTCATCATACCTGCTATAATTTGCATAAAAATCTAAAATGTCATTGTTATTTTGGTGACCTTAATAAAGATGAAACATTTCTCTTTCAGTTAATATTTGAATATTAGAATGTCTTCTAATGGAATAAGGGTAGAAGATTGGAAAGATCATTTTGGAGTAGATTTGAACCCCACTCTGTCACTTACTGCAACCATGACTTTAGACATGTTATTCAACCATTTTAAGCTTCAACTTGGGAACAGCAACTATCTTGCAGGTGATTGTGAGAATTAGAAATAATATATGTAAAATAATGAACATAGGGACTTGCTCATAGCAACTTAATAAATAAATGTAACCCTGGCAGGTGTGGCTTAGTGGTTAGAGAGTTGGCCCATGCACCAAAGGGTCATGGGTTCAATTTCTGGCCAAAGGCACATACCTGGGTTGCAGGTTCCACCCCTGGCTCCAGTCATGGTGCATGCAGGATGCAACCAATTGATGTCTCTCTCTTACATCAATGTCTCTCTCTTTCTCTCCCTCCCTCCCACTCTCTCTAAAAAAAAAATCAATGGAAATATCCTCAGGTGAGGATTAACAACAATAAGTAAACAAACAAATAAATAAATAATAGATAGATGTTATTGTTAGAATAAAGGAGTTATACCTTAAATAACTTCTTCTAAAGTACACTGAAAATTTGTTTTAAAAAATACTTTTATTGATTACTTTAGAGAGAGAGGAATAGAGAGTGACAGAGAAAGGAAAACATTGATAGGCTGCTCAATCCTGGGGATTGAGCCTGCAACCCGGGGCATGTGCCTTGACCAGAAATGGAACTGGCAACCTTTCAGTACACAGGATGACTCACAACCAACTGAGCCATACTAGCCAGAGCTGCAAATATTCTAAAACTTCAAATTCCACACACTCACAAATACATTGTACGACAGCAATAAAGAGAAAAATGACAATTTCTCCACATTAGAAAAGAATCAGACAAAATGTTTGGAAGGAATCAATAATCTGTACTTGGTCAAAGACATCTACAGTGAATGAATATTCAAGATATTCTCCAAACTGTTGCTGTGCTATGAATTACTTATCAGGTACACTACAACTTGAGTTTCTCCCAAAAGATCAGACAATAAAACTTATGAGAGAGTAGTCATATAAAGAGTCCATTAACCAAACAGCTTGTTAAGTGTTCAAGATGAACCTCTGTTAGAGATAACAGCATAAGTACAATAAATGTGTTTACCTGAGGTGTCTCATGGCCTTTTCTACTATAATTCTGTATGAAGTCCACAAGGCCATGAACAACTGTTTTAACAGCTACCATTGCATTTTCTAGCTGCTCCCAAGTTGGTGAAACAGCATCTAAAATAAGCCACCAAGGAGATGGCATGGAGAAAAGAATCTGTTAGCAGAAATTCTTTTCTGTTATTATAAAAAGTATAAGCAATTGAGTATTTCCCCACCTACCTGGATTGGGGTCTATGTTTGCAAGAAGCTCTAAATGAGGCCTCAGTCTATTTAAGTTAGCTGGGTCACCTGTTCGTTGCAAAACAATTGTCAATTCCTGGACACTCTTTGCAAATGATTCTGGAGATTGCAGCTAACAAACAGAAGACAGAATGGTTTTTATGACATATCTATATTTAAATGCTTTCATTTAGTCAACATACTAAACAGGTTTGCAAGTGTCTTCAGACTCCATAGTAGGAGTATCAATGGTGAATTAGATTTTCACCTCAGAATCTGCCCTATGAAATTCATCATTAGACACTCAGAAAAAGTATTAGCTTTCTGGAGTCAAAATGTAGATGAACGACAGACTCTAAGTCAAGCTGCTTTTATGCTAATATCCTGTATTTGCTCCCCTATTGCCTCCCTTAGTTTATTTTGAAAGTTAAAAAAAAATTCAAAGAAAAAAAAGACTTTATAAGACTCTGATATTTAAAAAATAGGAATCTCCAACTGAATCTCCTATTCTCTTTAGTCCCTTCAAAAGATTCCAGTATTCTCCAATGTAACAATGATATAAATCAGCATCTCTACTTTCACAAACCTTATCAATAATAGACTGCATGTGTGATTTATGCGCCAAGTCACCATATAGAAGTGAGGACCACTGCTCGGGTGAAATCCGGAGTCCTGCTTCCATAGCAATATGAACAATTTGGGCATCGTGTTCTCTGCGTAATGCCTCATAGCTCCGAAATTCCTCCTTTAGCTGCATCAGAGAAGAGTCTTCATCCCTTTTGGTAACCTAAACAATAGAAAGGAGAAAAACACCCAACCCATCAGAACTGGTCTGCTCTCCCTCCTCCCCTAAACAAACCTTTTTGGGGGGTACTGAGTAGGGGGAACCTACTATTTTCAGAAGAAGAAAATGACCATGCCACAAATTCTTTTTGGAACAAAACAGAACTTGCGTAATCTAATACATTATCCTGCCTTCCTCCAATGAACTCCGCAGCTGGTAGGGAAGAGATGTAAAATTATAGTATAGGTGCTATTATAAGGCTCCATGGCAGTGATTTTCAGCCAGTGTGCTGCAAGAATTTTTAAAACATATAATACCTGACACTGTTTAGTCAGGGGCACTGACCTCTTTTCCCTTAGGCTGTCAAATTAAAAAAATGACAACAGCCAACACAAGAGCCGTCTGGGGTGAATGAATCAAAATTATACCTATCTTTTTGTCAGATCAGCAAAACATATAATACATTTCTTGGTGTGCTGTAGAATTTTAGTTGTTAGTTTATGTGTGCCATGAGATGTAAAGGTTGAAAATCGCTGCACTAAGGCAATATAAAGGAAAGGCAATCAAATCTGACTGGTGGGGGAGAGAAGGGGTATCAGAGAACACTTTCCCCAGTTGGAAGTTACACAAACGGAGTCTCAAAGAATAAATAGGAGTTCCCCAGGCAAAAAAGGGTGAGGAATAGAATTCTAAGAAGAGTAGCAAGTGATAAAAGAGAAACATGAAAGAGCTGAGAATACAGAATTAGAGGCTAAGATGCAGGCTGGGAAAGAATCATAGAAGGCCTTGTATACGTTGGTTAGAAAGTTGGGGATCATCCTGAGGGAAATGGGAAGTCTCCAAGAACATTTAAGCAAAGGAGTGTGTCATAATCCGTCTAGCCAATGAGCACCACATGATAATTAAGAAATTTTCTGCCACCACAAAAATGATCACTAAGGTATTTATGCAGCATTAATCTATACTTCATCTAATAAATAAAAAGTTCAAAACTTACAGAGTTCACATGTGCTAAGTGAAATTATCTCCTTACCCAGTCATGCAGGTACATGGCCAAATAATTTCCACAAGAGACTACACACACTGATTCCTGAATCTCTGAAACTTGCTAATGGCCACAGTGAAATACAAAATTTAGTCTTCAGAATACCCAGGACTAGCCCAGGGTCTCAAACTGAGATTGGATAAATCATTCAAACTATTTAAAACAATGATTTCCTCATCAGTACAATGAAAATATTTCAGACCATTTCACTGGTTGTTTCTATTGCTGTTGTGGGCACATGAGAAACAGCAATATGCTCCCAAGAATATGAAAATGGGGAAATCTCCATTTTTACTCTTTTGTTATCCCTAAGACAACATATAGGCCATCTTCAGATTAAAAGCTTTAATAACACAGAGAATGAGATAAAAATAGTATTGGGCAAGTTAAAACACTTACCTACTCCTATAAAATTTTCAGTCTAGTTCCTGACTCCCTTTTAAGACGGTAAATATAAATGAACTGGGCTTCTTTAGTCCACTTTCACTATCCCAAGAGTCAAGTTTACCCAACTATTTCCTTATGTTGTGTTTTGTGTTACTGACACCTTCACATTTGTTCTTATTTTCAATAGGTAGTACCACAGATGCAATCCAACGCAGAAAGAAAAAAAACAGTTTGCCTTTAACTCCTATAAGCATTCTGCATTTGTGGAGGCCTCTAAACAAGGTGACACCCATTCTAGGAACCCTCTGCGTCACACACAGGCATGTAATGTTTAGACAGTTGCTTACTACTTACCTTAAAACAAGAAGCTCGATACAGTAGTTGCACAACATGACCAATACTTGTTTTTGATGCCTGAGGAAATCTTGGTTCTAGTCTTTGCACAACAAAAAGTACCAGAACTTTCCTTGAGAGAGCAGAACCATCTTCTAATGCCAGCAACACCAGCTTCAAGGCCTCTTCTTGCATAGCTAGAAGTAAGAAACGTGAGTTCATGATAAATGAGAACCCCGCAGATCATGCCTGTCACAGATTTCTTTGTATTAGTTTACAGTGGTTCATTTTCTAGTCTGTATTTAGTAAACACAAAAAGAAAACATCACACATACACAAACATAGTTTACTTAAAAAATACAGTCATCCACCCTTATCCAAAGAGGATATGTTCTAAGACCACCAGGGGATGCCTGAAGCTGTGAATTGTACTGAACCCTATATACAGGGGTGGGCAAAAGTAGGCTTACAGTTGTGAGTATGCGAAACAGAGGTTATTCTTTTTTTTTTTAATCCTCACCTGAGGACACACTTAGAGAGAAGAAGGGAGAGGAAGAGAAT